GCCGAGGCCGCGGCCGAGACCGAAGAGGGCGTGGAAATGCGCGCGGAGAGGGCCGCCGGGCCGCCGCGCTCGCCGCCGTCGCCGCCGAGGTCCATCCAGCAACCAGCCCGCAGCTTCGCAAGGATCGCGGCATCGGACATCGCATGCGCGACGCGTTGCGAGGGCGGGGGGCTCAAGGCGGAGGTCCGAGTTGACATCTGGTCGGCCCCTTCCTGAGAAGGGAACGCCATGGTTGGGTCGAGGGCTGCTCGAAGGAGCTCCAAAAGGGATGGGAAAGAAGATGTCGGTGAAGGACAGGCCACGCCCACCGGGCCAGGGGTATTACAAGGGGGAGGGAGGGGTAAACCACACAAACAACACGTGTAGCGGGTTCTTTTATTATTATTTTGAACTAGGAAGAGACGTCGAAATCAGGGAATGAGGGATAGAATGAATGAGTGGAGAAAGTACTCGCACATTCGCAGAAAGCGGTATGCGTTCTCTTGGCAAGATGGGAACAGTAAAATTATCGTCACTTTCAGAGGGTAAACAAACTCAAAAAAGAGAAAAAAATGGAATTAAAATAATCCTTTTACGATGATCTTGGTTGATCTCTTTTAGCATTGTAAGGAAATTTTATTTCACTTTTTGCCATAGGAGTAGCAAGATCGTAAATCACTTATCTTTTCATCATTCGTACCTAATAGGCTGCAAATAAATAATACACACTAAACAAAAAGAGAAGATGAATGAATTTAACCTCAATGCTAGATTTTCAGGGTCCACCTAGGCCCCCCTGGTAACCTTATGAGTGTGTATTCATTCTCTGATATCTACTTATACACCCAAGAGAAAAAAGAGAAAAAAAAAGAAAAGAACTGTAATTTTCAAAACTAACACTCGATGGTTTGATTACCGGTGATTTTCCATACCGTATATCTTACCTTAGTTTCTTTTTATTAACCAGGCACACATATTCAAATTCTTTCCTTTTGTTGTTGCAACTCGTCGAGTTCTTTTTGCTTGTCTAAGGTTTTTCGAAGAAAAGTCAAGCATCAACACCACCACCCATGCTTCTTATTTACTTTATGGGATTTCCAATTTCATTAGTCGATGTATGTTCACAAATAGTGGATAGACACCAATTATTTCAGATCCCTATATTGAATATATATTGATCGACACGTTTATACGTTTGCATAGTCGTGCATCGATATTCATTAGTGTAAGCGTTGAAATGTATGGAGGTGGGAAAGGGGTCCTTTCAGTAAAAAGCCTTTGGATTCTCATTCAAGCGCAGCTGCTCCTCTATCCACAGCACCTGCTCTTCGTCCAAGCTATCCTCGTCGGAGCTCCTTTCCACCCTCCAGATATCCCCATAATCGTCGTAATCCATCGTAAATGTGGACAGCGTGCGGGGTGGGGGATGCGGATTTCCCCCGCAAGGATAGGTTGTGGCCGCGTTTTCGGCCCCTTCCATTGCCATCCCGCCGTTAGAGCGGGAGGAGGGAGGGTAAAGCCGCGTCGCCTCCATGACTCTCGGCCCATCGAGGCTCCAGTACCCGCCCAGCTGATTTTCATGGCGGACGTGCGAATGGGCCGAGGCGCTACTCCGCGTCTCCCAATCCCCATTACTGGAAGGGCTAAACTGAAACCGACTTATCCCCCCTCCCCCTACCCGCACCTCGTCTTCTTTTCCTTTGAAGTATAAGATCTCGTCCTCGAGGTCCTCGGCGTCAGCGTCGGCGTCGGCGAGGAGGTCATACATCAGTCCTTCGTCCATCGCGACGTCGTCGGCGATGGCGAGGTGTGTGAGCCGGACGGTATCCCCCCCACGCTCGGGCGGGGGGCTGCTCGGATCTCCCCTTTCTGCTTCGTCCTCGGGGGGAAAAGGGCTTGGGATTACACACCGTGCGAGCTGACACCCACTGACATTCCCCGAGGAGAAGGAGATCGGGGAGAAGTCCCCCCCCGACTTGGGATTGCCTGGGGAGCTCATGTCGGGGGCCCCGCCTTGGAGGGATAGCCCACAGGGCGGGGGTGGGTATGGGGTTTGGGTTTGCGGGGCGCTGGGGAATTCCCCGCGCGACCCCCTCACGGACGGCCTTTCCGTGAGCACCGCGGTGGTGCTGAGGGTTGCGCAGTCGGCCTCAAACGTCACGGCACTTGTCGAGGCCGCGTTAGCGCCACCTCGGGAGCCGTCCTCCTCCTCCTGGCAGGCGCTCACAGGGAGGGAGAAAAAGGACGGGGAGGACGTCTTGGCGGGGCAATAGGCCCGATGGGAATGCCAGAGCATCTGAAAGGGCTGTTGAGGGGTGTTCCCTTTGCTGCCACCGTTGGTGGTGGTGGTGGTGTTGAAGCCGCGAAAAAGGCTGGATAGACTGGTCATTGGTCCACTTCCAGCCTCGTAGGAAAATCCGCTGGGGTGGAATTCCGCGGCTTCTGCGCGTAGCTTGCGAGAACTTCCCATTGTCGTCGTTGCTGAAGAGGAGGAAAGTGGTGGTAATGGCGAGGTATTTATCCCAGGAGAGGAAGGTGTTGCGCTCGCGTTACTTTTCTCTACGGGAGAAAAAAAAGGCGGAGGCGAGAGTGCGGCTCCCTCAAGGGAAACCACAGCCTGATCGATGCCCTTGCTCGACCTCAAAGAGTTGCTCAATGGTATTTTTGTAAAGGCAGTGGAGTTTTGAATGTATGAAGTGGTCGCTACCTCTTTTGGGGGCAGCAAATTAAGAGAGGTCCTTTCTTTCGCTTCATAATTGCTGCTTTGAATATCTTCACAAGGCTTTTTGGGTGGATTCTCTTCAACGGTTTGAATATTCTTAATCGCAGCGCATCGCAACGATACGATCGCCGGATCGTTACCTATTGTCTGTGATGTTGACATCAAGCCTGGTAGATGTTTGCCTTTCTCAGAATGGCGGTTTTTAATATTCTTTTCTTCCTGAAGAGGTAAAAGAGAGAGAGAGTCTGACACCTCTTCATTTGGATCGGGTAATCGTTGTGGAATCGGCGTCATCGGAGGGGTGCTTAGCGCCGATACGGAGGTGAATCGACTTGAGATGCCATTTTGATTGTTGCTTTGGGCTGTATTCTGAGGAGTCAAAATAGGCTCACGAGAGCTATCCTTTTTCCTTGCCGGGGGTTCTCTCTGTTGATTAGAGGCGCGCTTTCGATTTTGACCGCTTTCTCGGAGCCCCGCTTTTTTTTCCACGTTCTCTTGCTTCAAGGTCTCCTTGTTTTTTCCTCTGAGAATAGCATCACGACAGTTCGTTCGATCATTCAAAGTTTTTTCTCTTCCACTCTTTTCTATTGACTCTTTAGGAATCAATGGCGTGCTCACCACCACTGCCGCTGAAGGATTTTGAATAGCTGAAAGATCGCCTACTAGGATATTCTCAGCTCCCCTGGGGGTTGATGTTGTATTCAACGAAATTTTCTGATCAAGATGTGGCTTCCTACGTCTATTATTTTTTTTCTTTCGATATCCATCTGGTACACTTGGTCGTTCCGAATTATTAGGAGAATTGGATTTCTCATGGATAACCCCTGACGGCATCAGCATAGTTAGGGATGCCGTTGAGGAGAGTTGTGCATTAGCCATAATGCATATATATATTTATCAACACTCGTATGAAAAAAAATAAGCGTGTCAAAACGACTAGCTCCTGAAAAATAAAAAATCAGAAATAATGCTAATTTTTATTTATTTACGAAGTTGATTTTTGTTGGATGACTGTTCAGATATGGATGCCTGCTTCTCTCAAAAATCTAATATGTGGAGTTTGGAACAATGAAGGAAAAAGTATTTAGTTCTTTCCCCTTTGTTATGGTAGCCTAATAGAGATGAAAAGTACGCTAAGTGGTTTACGGACCACAGTTAGCTGTTGTTTATTGTATTGGGAAAGGTATTCGTAACGTTTAAAAAAATGCTATACTCGTTGTGCTTAAAATTCAAAACACTATTCAGTAGATGTTTTGCCTTCTGTATACCCTTAATAAGTCAAGGATGCAAAATCCTGATATTTGTGATACTGTTCTCACCTATCTATCCCGAACGTTAATTCAATGAAATAAGTGCGTTCTGGGAGGGAATACAATAGACACGTAATGTAATCAATGAAAGATAGATAGAACGGAAATACGTCTTTTTTCGAAAAATCGAGTACTAAGTAAAACGATGAAAGGTAGAGATTCACGTAACGTATTGATAATCAGACAATAGAGGAAAAAAGCCTAAAGGAAGGAAGGAAGTAGTGCAGAAATCAAATATATATGTATATAAATATCCTTATATATTTTTTCTTATTTGTGAGAAATAGCGGTAAATAACGTCAATATAGTAGAGTAAACGAAAGGGAAAGACTGAGCACTGTGAAACATACAATGGGGGCGACAAAAGAGTCAACCCTTAAAAAATAATAAAGGATGTTTGACAAGAAGAAGTAAAGAATTAGGAGGATGAATAATATAGCCTTTGAGTTACTTTCTTTTCCTCTTTTTGTATGTGTGTATATGTGTGGCCTCTTTAATTCCCTTTTGACTGATGGAAATACTAAATGAAATGCGAATAGCGTTCTTTAAATGTATATTATATATACATATAAATATACATATGAATGTAAGTTTGTAAGTATAAAAACCCCAAAGGTTCTTTCCTTAGTGTGTGGCTTTTTGTGAGTCCTGGAAAGAGTGATTAAGCGCTTTATAT